CTCTCTCTCTCTCTCTCTCTCTCTCTCTCCTCTCTCTTCTCTCTCTCTCTCTCTCTCTCTGTGATTTTATTTAAACAAATAAAAAATTAAATAAAAAATTATAAAAAGTGAATTTTAATCAATAATTAAAGATGTTCCTTTTATTTATATTTATTCAAAGATCTAAGATAAAAAATACGTTTAGTTGTGTTTTTGTAGAAGTTGAAAATCATATAATATAAATAAGAGACATTATTGTTTTTATATATTACAAAGTTATCAGAGTATTTCATTACTACGTCATTACTATGTATTAATCGCAAAAGTATTCAAACGCTATTTTTACAAGGAAATTTAAAAATAAATTTTAAAAAATTTAATTTTAATGAAAATTTTTATATATACGGAGCAATTTATTTTTTGACGAAAAATCTTGAATATATGAAATCTATCCTCAAATTTTTACCTTTTTTTTTTTATTTTTTTTATTTTTTTTATTTTTTTTTATTTTTTGTAATCATTATAACGTTTTTATTTTTAAAAAATGAAAATAATACTGAAATTTTAATTTTCGGGTCCCCTCAGTGACAACGATATTAATAATACTAATAAAAAAAATTACTCTATATATTATTCCATTATTTCATCATCTACATGTTCACAATATTTTGTACGAAACCAGAATTATTTATAATTTTGATAACACAATTTATTACAGTTGAATAAAATTTGCATAATGTATACGAATATTTTTATTATAATTGTATATACATATTTATAGCTATATTTAATAAATAGATGTAATAAGATAAATAATAGAATAATAAGTAAAAGAATAATCGAGTATTTTCATCTTTTACAGACAATGACCGTAGATTCCGCAGCGACGACGATGTTTAATTCAGCGGCATATTTTAGCGAAGATCCTGCGGCTGATCGTCTGTTCGTCGTGACTAATCCTTGACCACTGTACATTCGTTATGTATATTCTATCATTGTTTTTGCGACAGAGAAATTTTTGGGTGAAGTTTTAGCGAAAAAGAATTTACTACGTGTTACAGTAGGTGAACCTTTGGCTTCTTGTATATTTGAAATTATGATATGTATTAATAATAATGTATGATAATTCATTTGATATTATTATTAATATATATATATATATATATGTGGTATATTTATACATTATACGTATATATACATAAATGATTGTAATATCTATGATTTGGTATCGTATTTCGTGGAATTCGATTATCTTTATAATAGTTATTATCATCATCCTCGTCATTACATCATCGAGTATTATTGTATCATTAGATCGTTAGATAAGTTAGATATTTTTTTGAAAATTTGATTATTTCTATTAATTGATTTTTATTAATATCAATCTATACTTACCTACGATGTATTGAGATACGACAACACGAATTACGATATCGTTAATAGAAGATAATCATCAAATTGTTCCTAAGCGAACGAGTGATGGTAAATCGATAATTCTTGCAATTGTACAATAATATGTGCAGTTTGCAAGATAAAAGAGATCGGTCGTCTTAATCTTTTTATTAATATTGATTATTTTTTTTTTTTCGTTTCTTTATCTTTTATGTAAGTATGTATGTACATACAAATATGTAAAGTTTGAAATGCATAAGCTCAAGAGAAGAAGCAAGTTGAAACATTTTGTAACATACCTGTGATTTTTCGCAATTTTATCACGAATAATTATCCTGTATATATACAGTTTATCTCAATTTCAATAATACGAATTTCTGCAAGATTTGTAATCGAAAATTGAAATCGTTAGAATATTTGACATTTTAACATGTAGACAATGTTGTATACAAAAAAAAAAAAAAAACACGTTAAATAATATTAAAAGCAGCTGTGCTGTTTGAATTTTTAAATATAGAAAACATACACGGTCTCCGTATTTTTTATTTTGTAGATTTATAGATGTGTACGCATATAATAATATTTCGACTCTATGAGACGGAATTAAAAACATCGAAAGAAGGCGCGGCGCGTTCCAGTCAGGACAAATTTAGAAATGGACAATCTGAAATCTAATATATATTAATAAGAACGAATAATCGTTGAACGAAAAACTTTCTATTCTTTCTTCGACGAATTATACGGTCGCTTGCATAGTTTTATAGTAAGTAATCGTGCATGCTTATATATATTATAATAATTTTATGGAAATATAATTATTTTAGAATATTTTTCACGAGAAAGTTTTCTGTTTCGTGACTTTTTTTATTCACGAATGATCGATTAACTCGTAATAACTCGTATAAATGAAAGAAAAGTTTGGATAGGGTTAGGTCGAACTTACTTTTATATGATATGATATATTATACGTATAACTTATCTGTTATGAATAATTGTATAGAAAAATAGAATAATACCATATTATATGAGATTCGAACAGATATCGATAAGTTACAATATGTTGTAGTAATGGTAAATTTTCAGGAAAGATTCATCGATCGGTACGAAGATTCATCATTGATCATGTACGAATTTAAAAGAACGACGAGTATGTACGTGGAATTTATATTTCTGTTTGTTAAAATTAATCAGTCCTGGAGTATTATATAGTATATCGTATTATTGATCTCTTCGACAATAGTAACCAAGAGTTTTACATTTTTGACAGAGATGTTGCGGATGAACTTACTTTGGTCGGACACATCCAATCCGTCTGGTTTCTCTAATGGTCTCTGAAAACACGTAGTAAAATGTAACGAGATTACGTAATTACACAATCATGTTGGCGTGCAATGAAAATGCGGTAAATTTGTGATTACTCGTTGCCAGGCTGGGAAAAAACAATTCTAATACGAATTTGATGCAATAACAGATTATTAACAGTTAAAGGTATTTATGTATTTTGGTAATTTTGCGTTGCTGAATTTGTTAGGGTGGAAGAAATAACATATTCCATATATATATATATATATATTCGGAACCAATTTTTTCTTGGTGATGATTTACTACTAATTGTGAAGCTAGGTCTGGATATTTTACATTACACATGTGTTTTTTTGTTTTCTCTTTTGGTAAAATTTTTTCAACTCGAATAACGTTTGTCGAAAGTATATTTTAACGAGAATAAACTTTTGATAAATGTAAATTTTTACTCACTTGTTTATGAGGATAAACGTTTATATGACATTTAATACATTCCTGGCCCATATTGGCCCAGCTATTACCCGACATCCATTTGCGTTTGCATTTGGGACATTTGTATTCTCCGAAGCATCGTTTTTTTCCTTGATACGGCGTTAAACCTTCACCCTTTGGTCTTGCCTGGAATCGATCGTTATAACTCGTTTATTATTATTATTGATCTTATTTTTATATTTTTAAGTTTTTATTATCTATTGCACTGTATAATATCGACTCTCTCGTTTAACGTTTCTAACGTTAATTCAAATTCAAAATTAACAATAATTCAATAGTATAATAATAGCAATAGCGTACGCGTTTTAGACGCGTATATAAGAAAGACTCGAAATACTGGATGACACATTTCACGAGATATTCGCGAACGGTGTTGTTATTCGGATCGGTCTAAAAATAATGCACATCTATGCAAAGATAATATCCTCGGTAATCTTCTACTTTAAACTTTATCGACAATGAAAAGAAGATTTTGAAAAACACACCTGCGGGCAATCTTTGATATAATGACCTTTCTTGAAACACAGGTGACAGAGATAACTAGGCGGTGGCCTTTTCGTTGGTTTTCTATCTAATAGACCCAATTCTCTGAAACGATCTGCAAGTTCGTTGATATTGTCTGCAAAATTGCCATTTATAGCGCAGGAAGGATCGAGTGTATCACGATGAGAATGAGTTTGTGACGTTGTTGTTGAAAAACCGCTCCAGATTGCCGGAACAAGTTTGTTCTAAAATATATTACAAATCGATAATCGTTCGATAAATTATCGTTAAAATGTTATTTTATTTTTGTGTTTGTATATTGATAATTAAAAAAATCGTAAAAATTGTTTAATTTAAAAAAAAAAACGAGAGAGAGAGAGAGAGAGAGAGAGAGAGAGAGAGAGAGAGAGAGAGAGAGTAGTAGAG